GGCCACTAAAACACGATATAATAAAGCGATTTATCGCTTTGAACTTTCAAAATTCCATTGTATTTTGACAGTTCATAGCGATAAATCGCTTTATCATATCGTGTTTCGATGGTCATGTTATTGGGGCTGAAGTAAGTACTGATATCGAAGCATACCTGTCTGTGGTAAGTATAATTCATGATAGGTAAAAGGTAATATTATTACAAGTACATTTTTATATTTTTTATAAGTTTCTGTATGTATAACCACTCAGAATAGTATTTTCAGTATAACGTTGTAGTTAAAATAGCACCATAGTCTATGAAACATGGAAGGTAATTTATATATTAATAGTAGGTAAGTACAGATAAAAATTACAAAGCATAGTTTTCGGTAAAACCTAATTTAAGCTGGTAGAAAAGTATTATAGCACTAAAGGTTAATATTTAATTTTCGAAGATTTCAGTATTTCATTCGATCGTTTTGTCATTTTTATTCGGACAAAAGTAGTCGGAAAGTTAGTATTTGAGGCAGTAGATTTCATATTTTGAGTAAGGGCAATTCTTATTTTTTTTGTCGGAGCTTTTATTACTACCCTTTTTTGATAGACGCATTCTGTATGCATTTTTGCACTGTTTATATAAAAACATGCTTAACTATTTATGTTTCATAGCTTTTTTGATCATTAATAAAGATTGCAAATCATGTATAATGTTTACAAAATACGTTATTTTATTTAATAATTGCACCTCTATAACTGAAATAACCTGTATTCTCACCTCCGTTAATGGAATACTCTGCAAATGGGACAGATATTTATTTATACCTGGATATCGGAGACACTGGGTAAGTGGAATACCTGTTAAAGTGAGACAAATTTACAGGTCCTTTTAAGGTCTCAGTTATCCAGGTTTCACTGTATATGAATGACATATTAGTAGTTAATTTGCTATCAGAATTGTATCTTTTAGTTTTTATGACTTTGTATGCCGTACGGTAGAATGTAGCGGAAACACTTAGTGTCGTACGATCATATACCTACATTGTGGCAAATAAAGAATCTGAATCTGAATCAGTCATAATGACGAAATAGGTAAAAAGTAAAAATATGAGTGTAAGTGTGCAAATAAAACCTCACAAGCTTGATCAGTGATAAATGATAATATATTAGGTACTTCTACAATTTCCAAACGTCCTCCACAACAGTTTATCAAAATTAAATTAACAGGTAATGGCGGACTCGACACAATGCAAATCTTAATAGTAGGTAGGTACTATTAAGATTTTAAGGTATGGGTAACATTATTTAATCTGTACTAATGGTAGGTACCAATTAGCGAATATGGCGTCTCATTTCTGACTTTTCAATATAAAATATTTTTATGTAACTTGTCCAAATTTTTATTTCATTTATTTTTCTCCTTTTTTTGCAAAATTGATATATAAAACGTAAGTGTAATTTTTTGATTTGATAGAGTTTGATCAGTAAATAATAAAATTCGAGTCTGGCACTCTTATTCTCGACACAACTATTTGCCAGACCACACACCTTAAAGTAACAAACCACCACACCGCTAGTTTATTATTTAACTAATACGAGGGCGGCACTGAAAATTTCGGGAATCAAGGAAGTGACACAACATTACTATTTAAAAATGTATTTATTGCTTTTCGAAGTATTCTCCGCGAAATTTGACACATTTTTCCATACGATGGAACCAATCATTGAAGCAACCATTCAATTCGGAAGTTGGGGTCTCCAAAATGGCCGTTTTGTAGGCGTCCACAGCTTCTTCAGGTGATGAAAATCTATCCACGCAATTTATTCTTTATTTTAGGGAAAGTATAGAAATCATTAGGGCTTAGGTCGGGGCTGTACGGCGGATGGTCTAATAATTCTATGTTTTCTTGCTCTAAAAACTCTTTTGTTCTGTGTGCGGTGTGAGAACTCGCATTGCCGTGATGGAGGATGATGCGGCGGTTGTAGTTCTCTTTACGGAGTTCAGAAACGACCTGTGGCAAACAAATGCTAGCATACCATTCTGCATTAACCGTTCTTTGTCCCTCAAGAGGATTAGTCGTAACATGGCCGGTTTTGGAGGCAAACGTGGCCACCATTTTTTTTGCAACACTCCGTGAACGAACAATTTTTGTTGGCTTTGACTCATTTTCGAAAACCCAAACTCGTGACTGGTTTTTTGTTTCGGTTTCGTACGCGTATATCCAGGATTCGTCACCTGATACGATGTTGTATACAGCATTTGAGGATCCTGCGTGGAATCTTTCGAGAGTTTTGACGAACCAAGGGTACGACTTTCCATTGACGTCAGTGAAGTTTGGTGTTGATACGTATTTTTACAGAAAGATTACACTATTATAAGCACACACACAAAGTCTCAATATACGGAAACGCGTAATTTTTGAGAAAAGAATAATTGAAAATCAATTATTCTTGCAATGTTTATGTCTAATCTGCTAATAAACTGGCGCCATTTTGTAATGTCATTGTCGACGTCAATAGGGATGTCGATTCTTTCCGAAAAAGATTGATTTTTTAAATAGATTCGAATTGTAAGCTGATGTATCGATTCCCAAAAAATCGATTTCTAAAATGTCGATATTTTTTTCATGTTTGCATTTATAATGTAAATATAAATCCATTTTATGAGAAAAAATCCCCTTCATCATAAAAAAATAAGGGGACTGATTCATAAGGATTTCTGTATCTATTTTGAGACTGCTACGTCTCCGCCGCTGCGGGAAGAGCAACCTCTACGCCTTAGCGTAACAAATCGCAGGCATCCCTCCTCGCCTCCGCAGCTTCGGCTTGTTGGTCGCCTTCGGCGACCAGCCTCAGCCGCTTCGGCTCGTCCAATGCCTACAATTTGTTACAGCAGGCGGAGGCTGCTCCCCCTACGCGCCTCCGGCTCTATAAAACCACTCTAGGGGTAGGACAGACTCGTACCAGGTGGAGTCGGGGTCAATCAATTCGGTTCTTTGACATAAGTTGAACCTAACCTATTTTATTTGTTATCTGCCCTAATAGGTACTGTTAAATAAAACAAATTTCAATAAGAGATCATTTATCATGGTATCTTTCTTGTTTTTCATAAAATGGGTTTATATTTACATTATAAATAGAAACATTAAAAAAATATAGATATTTTAGAAATCGATTTTTTGTGAACCGATACATCAGCTTACGATTTGAATCGATTTAAAAATCGACCTTTTTCGGAAAGAATCGACATCCCTATTGACGTCGACAATGACATTACAAAATGGCGCCAGTTTATTAGCAGATTAGACATAAACATTGCAAGAATAATTGATTTTCAATTATTCTTTTCTCAAAAATTACGCGTTTCCGTATATTGAGACTTTGTGTGTGTGCTTATAATAGTGTAATCTTTCTGTAAAAATACGTATCAACACCAAACTCCACTGACGTCAATGGAAAGCTAAGCCGAACCAAGTAACGCGAGCCGCTTTTTGCTCTTCACAGAGTGAATGCGGTATCCATCGGGAAAACAACTTTTTTACACATAATTGTTCATGCAAGATTATTTGTATTTGACTCATGCCAATGTCTAAAGTTGCCTGAATTTCGCGGTATGTCACATGTCGATCTTCCTCAATCAGCTTACGCACAGCATCAACGTTTTCTTGGGTGACTGCAGTTTTTGGACGACCTTGACGGGGATCATCACTGAGCTTGACACGTCCACGTTGAAATTCAGCAAACCAGCGATAAATTGTGTTTTGGATGGGGCTTCATCACCAAATGCAGAAATCATCCGGTCAACGCACTGTTTTTGTGTTAAACCACTTCGAAAGTCATAATAAATCTTTAAAAAGAATTTTCTCGAGTCAATTCCATTTTCTCAACGACTAAACAAGTTTGATAAAACCTTGTGGCAAGACCGAGAATCTTTTTTTTTAAAATAAATAAATGGTATTCGATTTTTAAAATCAAGGAGTTTTCAATTAAAAAGATTTTAATATGACAGGAACAGTGGAAATATTCTATTCCCGATACTTTTAGTGCAGCCCTCGTACCCAGAAAATAAAAGTGTATATTTTTCTATTTATTCCGGACTACAAAGAGCAAAATAAATTATGACGATGTAAATAACGAAATTAGCTATGGTTAGACGTAGTGGTTATATTCTCTTTGGCTATGGTTTTATAGAGCGTGCATTCGAATATGCGCAAGTCAAAATCTACACGATGGCTCTAGAGCGGTGTAATTTGAATGAGGGCTAATCATCTTCCACTCACCAGATGTCGCTAGTTGTGACTGAGGTAAAGTTTTTTGTTATACAATGTCACTTAATGGAGAAATTAGTTTTAAATAATAGTTTATCATTACCTTGAGTATTATATTAGTACCCAACGCAATGCGCCAGTAGTTTGATTTTTATTTTTTTTTTACTTTATAACTCTTTTCTATTTTCTACTTTTGATTATATTTATAGTTTGGTTTATTAATTTCTAATCTAATTAATATAAAATATAACTAATAAAACGGAAAGAAACATTAAATTTTACATTTTCCTAAGAAATTATCGTCCCCGCTATGAAATCTGTCAAATATTTAACCTCATTGTAAAGTGGCGCCGCCCTGGTGGCAGGAAAACTCATTGACACACACACTATAATGTTTCCTCTAAGTAAGTACATTTTTTACACTTTTGAGTGGATTAAGTAATATCACAAGGTCAAGGTAACGACTATAAATCATCATCATTCTAATTACAGCCCTTCACAAGTTCACAGCTGAACATAGGCCTCCCCCAAGGAATTCCATAAAGCACGGTCCTGAGCCACCTTCATCTTCTTCTTGCATATTTTACCAGGCCGTCACTCTATCTAGTGGGGGGTCGGTCGCCGTACACTTCGCTTACCAGTACGAGGTTGCCACTCGAGAACTTTTTTCCCCATTGGTTATTATACGATTATTATATTTTACGACGATTATTATACGATTATTCTGGTGGAAAAATAAAACATTTGGCATATACCGCATTAATTTATTGGAATAAAATAAATATTACAATAAAATAATAGGAAATAGCTAACAACTACCTACAATTGCAACTAAAACTATATTTTATTAAAAAAATATGCATACTATCACAAAAACTGCATTCCACAAATCAAATATTTCGTCCACAGAAAGTCACTATTTATAACACAAAAAGCTTAAGTTTACGTTGATGGCATTGCCAAAAAATAGAATTTAATGTAGTACCAATGGTTTTTATTAGTACGAAGTATAAAACATATTAATGGATAATAACTCAATAACAATATCACGTTTATGAAAGAAAATTAAAAGCCTCTATTAGGTACTCTATTATATGTATATCTGAAATTAGTATATAACTTACCTATAAGTATTTACAGCTTACAATTTTTATCATAAAGCTTTTAAAACAAGTTTAATATTCACATATAAGGCAGTGAACTCTCTCTAATTAACTTATTACAATAATAGTATCAAACAAAATTTAACTCAAAACTGAGACTGATATTACCTTAGAGTATTTATAAGGAAACTAGCTTGCTTATAAATACTCTTGACTTATAAAGTTTGTGCCAAAAGTGAATAAATAATTAGCTTCTTAAACTGAGTTCTATCTACTTCCGAAAAACTGATAGTGATCAACAAAATATAAATTACAATTATTAAAACATTTACGGCCTTACGCATAAAATTGACTTCAATCTATACTAATATAATAAAGCGGAAGAGTTTTTTGTTTTTTTAAACGCGCTAATCTCTGGAACTACCAGTCCGATTTGAAAAATTATTTTTGTATATTATAGCTAGATTCATGTGGAATAGTATAGGCTATCTAGAATTAAGCTATACCACTCAGCTAGCCTTAAATGTGGATATTTGTTAAGCAAGTCAGAAGAAAAAGCACTCCCGAAATGATATGTCCGCGTACGCTAGTGTTATCGTTAGGGATACGTAAATACAATGTTCTAGAAAAATATATATCTTTACTCCATCTAAAAAAAAGACCGCGATACCATATGTCTATTTCTTATACATAAGCCATAATTAGGTATTTTGTGACAAAAAAATATTGAAAATTTAAAAGTGATTTATGAGCGTTATTATTAGGCATGGCCTATTTATCCTTACGAACGAAAGTTACTTCATTATCAAGACAATTTTATGAAGATAAACTTTGTTCTTTATACCATGTTATTTGGACGCATAGTTTAAGAAATAATGTAAAATTAAAATAATTCAATACTTGGCTGTGCGCGTGAACGACACATAAACCCTAGCCGCTCGGTGAGAACTACGAGAAGCCAGTATTGAAAGCTTCTATGAGCAAGGTTAGTTCAATCATTATAGCTAAAATAAATTAAAAATTAATTGAGTACTTTTATGACAATGATTAGTTACATCTTTATTTCTGAACTCTTTCATTTCACGTTACTATGGTATTTTGAAAATTTTATTGATTAATAAGTATAAGAGTTTGATAGCTCAAGAATCATTTCATGCCTACACACTTTTCATGTATCGTGTACGGTTTTCTTTAAAACTGGAAAAATCGCGCTTCGGGACACTTCCTGGGACGTGGGGGGAGGGGGGAAGGAAAGTGGTAGTGTGTGTGTGGTAGATAAAACTTAACTTCGCTCTACATCATACATAATATGCCGACAGATAAAAGTACTCCATTAATTATTGCCAATGCAAATTTTTCCATACATTGCTATCAAATAAAATATTTAATTGCAATTATAAAATGCTTGAACTAGGTCATGTCGCTCACCTCCGACACATGATGACGCGGGTGAAACCGCGAGGCATAGCTAGTGTAATATATAATACAAAGTTGCTCTGTCGTTTTACTAGCAATAGAAAGACACAGGTATAGACAGAATTAATACATAATATGTGGTGTATAACTACGATTTTACGGCCGTTAATTTCTAGTTTAACTATTTTTTTTATTTTGAATGATGAATTGATAGATTGATTTCAATGAGAAACAAACAAAACAATATAAACCATAGTCATATTGTAATTCCTTTTCACATTTTGCTGTTTGAATTGCGTGAATCACTACAATCTTAGAATAACTGATCATTTGTCTTATAGCCCTAAGTTTATATAACTGTATAAGTAGTCTACTCTAGTATGACATAATAAGTAACTCTTATCTGAAATGTTCAACATACTAAGGGCATGGCCATAAATAAATTAATCATAATAAATAAAATAATAATCGCTTTTGGCAGTTTGTGTACTTTATTACTATATACAAAAGTAATTATACAAGATTTTACTCTATACAAAGCACATTTAATTTAATATGGTAGCTGAAAAACATTTTATTTCCTTAATATCAACAAATGTTTATGCTTATTTCGCATTTTAGAAGTAATGTATCATATAAGGTCAGCCTAGATACATCTTATCACTGAGCACAGACCTCATTCCTGTGGGTAATGGAGTAGAAAAGGTCCACTGTGATGTTTTACTTTTAGTACAAATCGAAGCGCTTAGGTTTTCCAAATAGTAATTGCAATACCAATTTACTCTGGATACTTTCTTTCAGTACTAAAAAGTATGTGGTACTTAAACCACTGGAAATTGGGAATCAGTGGTGCTGGCAGGGATGGAACACTACTCTTGTTTCAAATAACTTCAATTTTATTATATTATATTGATCCAAAATAATATTATGGTTAAAGCAACATCTTCATAATCTAATTTAAATAAATAAATTGCAATAACTAATACTCTTTATTTTTAATAAACAGTTATTGGTCTGCGACTTTCAAATTATCTTAACAAATTACTTCAAGGTACACGCAAATGACTCTGCATAAAAAGTTACTTATAACATTAAAGACAAATTGTTAAATTATTGAACTTTGTTGTCCAATTGCACCACAATCTGATTAGACACAACTTTAGTTGCCACTGAAGCATTAGGTATAAGGAAACGATCCATATCTTTTATTAAAAGATTGTCACCATCAGGTATACCATACTTAAAAGTTATTAACTCAGGATGTCTCTTTTTCGCAGTAATCTTAACAATTGTGGAAAGTGGTCTCCTTGACAATATTTTGGCATAGCCACGCTTGCTAGAGATTTCGCGTAAAATTATTAAATGTGTGTCAGTGACAACTAAATAAGAATCGTACATATAACCATTGAGTAAAACCTCTTGACATTGAAAATGATCAACAACATTTTGTCGTTTAATGAATGTCTGTAATTCAACAATCTCTTCTAAAGATTCAGAGCTCATAATATCCCTTCGTGAATCAGAATATGAATCATCATCTTCATCATTAATGCTGAACACAGGTGGTACATTTCTATATCTATGCTCCTTCCTGTCATTTGCAGATACATGCCATTCCCCACTGTTGACTGTTGCGTTAGGATTAACAATGTATTCAATTAATTTTCCTTTAACTTCTTGACTTTTTACCTTCATTGCTGTTGATAATTTACTAAAAAGCTGTATAGCAGGTATATTATCATGTACTTTTGCTTTATGGCTTTCACTACTAAAATTATTATTATTAGGGGCACACACCAAACATGTAGAAACATTGTGATCCTCTAAACAATCAGTCATATGAGGGCCAAAGTAATCATGTATAGCTACAAATCCACCATCTAACATAGAGACATGTTTTGTATTCTTCTTCAAAAATGAAGCAACAACCATGTGAGCATAACTGTCTTCTTCAGTTCGTCCAGAACCAACAAAGCACAAGTGTTCACCAGCAGCAAGAGAGCCAGCTGCTAGCGCCTGGCGCTGTGCATTTAATAAACCCTGTACAGCAGTATTAAAAGCATTTGGTTCTTGCAACATCAAATTACAATCAAGATGAAAAGCTGTAGATAAATGTCCTGCATTATATTGCTCAGCTGGCCTACAATCCACCAAAAAGAATTTCACACTATCCACATCTGCAGCATCTACTGTTGCACTTTCTATAAGTTCATGCACAGCCACTGGTAGACAAAGAGCTTGAGAATAAAGTTTTGAATTAATCTCTAATCCACTTTCTGAAAACAATACCTCTAAGACATCTTCACGGAATGATTGCGGTGTTTTTAAAGAATAGTAATGGGCTAATGAACAAAAATCAGACACATCATTTGCTTCTAAATCACCCGGCATACCAGTCAAGGTATTGATTATTGTAGCCTTATCCTCATTTTTCATTAGCAAGAGCTGTTCTCTAGCATTGACTATCATAATAAGGCAAAGAAAAAATATAAAAAAAGGATCTGACCTTTGGAAATACAAATCCCACATAAAAAGCACTACCTCTAAATTACAAGTACCCGCAAAAAGTGATCTCAACCAAGGTAAACAATACTGCTCAGGTGTTATTCGTTTTGTATCTAAAAAGGAACATAGTTCAGGATCATGATATTGCAAAACTAACTGTAAAATATGAAAAGGAACACCGTTCGTTATACAGCCTTTTGGAATGTAAAGCTTTATCACTTTTTCAAACAAGTTATAAGTATCAGACCTTGGTAACTTCAAACTCAATAAGGGATATAATATTTCTATCCAGCCATTATTAGAAGCATATGAAATTGATTTAGATTTACAATAAAATGTTACTATAGACTCAATGTCCGATATAACAGCCAATTTATCATCATCGTCGTTATCTAATCTTTTTACAAATTTTTTTACATCATCACGGAGATCATTTTGGTTTGGTAAATCAAATATTTCATCAAAGTGAAGTAATTGATTACCAGCTTCCTGGCAGTTAAGGCACACAAGCCAAACATCAGGGCGAAGACTGTCAGGTATTCTCTTGCCTTTTGTAATAACATTGATTTCTTGAGGGGGACATCCATCTAACAGGGCTGACTCCAATTCAATTAACCTTAAAATAATAATAAAAAAATTCAGTACAAATAACTTCAAATCTTAACATATGGAAATGTTTCATGTTAGAGATATACTTAAGTGAATATAAATAATTATATAAGCAAAATTCATTAGTTTATATTTATGCACTTACCATGTGTTATCATCTTCTTCTACTGCCATAGTTTATACAGTTCCAGTACAAGCAAGGACTCAATATATAATTTTCTGTCTACTCACGAAATAGGAACAACAATAAACAGAAAAGTCAATCGTTCGACTATTATCAAATATTTCTAACAATATTAATTGTGAGAAACAACAAACTAATTAAAATTTTATTTGCCAGTCCCATGAATATTTATATTTGAATATTATTTCTGAAATAATAAACAGGCTCTTCTAAATTTGTCCTGACACATTAAATTAAATCATAGAATCATTGATAAATAAATATGTAGCAAGCATTTTATTACTATTGTTGGCTTGGATGCTTGTTCTTTAAGCCATAACTTCATTTATCTCTGTAATAAGTGTTAAGCGATACTTAATATTCCTTTATAGTACTCTGCTTCTTAATATGTTAATGCGTTACATTGCGCTGCCCTTGAAAGATTTTGGCGGCAACTTGAGCCAGCAGTTTGCGATAGTATATCAAGGCGCTTAAGCAGACATACAACTTATTTTAAGATTTACATCACCATCGAAGCACTTGTTTCACCGTTTCCAATAGTTCACATGCGCCGACATTTAGTACACAAACCGCACTACTTTTACATATCAAAATCCAATTCAAACCATTATTTAAACAATAATACAGGAGCAGCAATTCGCCGCCGTGTCGGTTAAGTTCCTGCCAAAACTCCCCTCAAATGTACTCTTTGGTCAAACGTACAGACAGACAAAACGTAAGGAGAATTACAGAATATACTATCAGAGAGTCAATTATCAATAATTTATTTACTATTTACTAGGTAAACCTTCACAACAAAAACAAACTGTAATATGAAAACAAGTACCTATATATTTGTAATATTTTATTTATTTAGGTTAATTTGTTTAATCCACACCCGGTTTGCTTCACGAAAACGTATACAGAGAGCACTGCTACGACAGTTTAGATACCGCGGCAGGACTGTGGCTTGCCTTCTTTTTTCTTGCTCACACGTTATGACGTTACTCATTTATCTATTTACTACATTTACCCTTATGAACTCAAGACAAGCTCTTTTGCAAAATAAACCGGCACTCAAGCGAAGAACCAATTTTATTGTTACTATTAGATTGTTTAATAATTTAAGGTAGTCTTAAACTCTTGTACTCAGAATTTTATAAATTAATTAGCAAGGAATAGTTTTCGTCGGTATTATCATAGCATATTGATTGAATTATTGAGAAATATGTTAACTTATCTTGCCTAACACACCACCAAACGTGTTATCGGGCTGGCTGCCATTTTGGTTACGCTTTACGATGCGCGAGACAAGTTAGTTAGAACATACACAACATCCTTTCTTTGTTTTAATTTACTATTTTTACGTATATCTGGTTGTTCATAAAATTATTTCTTATAGAACAAATTTTTTAAACGTTCATTGCTTTATTTATTGAAAATCACTCATCATAAAAATTGTATTTCTATTGTATTCCAATAATTATTAATATTGTGTACGTTATTTTCTTTTAAAAAATCCTAATCATTTTCACTATTATTCATTTCATTTATTCAACTTTCATCATTCTTTCCAATATTTAACTCTTTATTTTGATCATCAAGAACTCTTCACCTTTCTTCAACCTTCTTTAAGTGTTCTATATTCCTTCTATAGACTTGTTTCATCGATACGAACATTCACATCCCCACTTACACTCTGTTGCGCAATGTGAGTGGACAAGCTCGTGGATACTGTCCATGCGGTCGGAGCTAAGTTCTGCAAGACCCGCCGCAGAAGAACACAAAAACTCTACGATCACACTCTTAATCTCATGGCTGTTAGACGGGAGATGAAGCTACATTCTTCAATAGATATGACAGCATACAGGCAACTGAACAGACAGATCTCCAAGTGCATGCGGCGGGACTTACGCAACTTCAATACAGCTCGTATTGAAGAAGCGATCGAGCGGAACCAAGGCTCCAAAGTCTTTGCCAGAGATCTGTCTGCCAGAAAGAGCCAACTGTCAAAGCTGAAGACCGAATGTGGCAGCATCGTTTCCGGGGCACCTGAGATTTTGAGTGAGATTGAGAGGTTCTATGGGCAGCTGTACACGTCATCGTTGGACCCGCACGCAAATGTGATTAACGATCCAAGAGCGAGTCTTATCCGACATTATTCTGATGATATCCCGGACGTCAGTCTGAGCGAGATTAGAATGGCTCTCCAGCACCTTAAAAACGGCAAGGCCCCAGGCGAGGATGGAATTACAGCGGAGCTTCTGAAAGCGGGTGGAAAACCGGTACTTGAAGTCCTTCAGAAGCTCTTTAATTCCGTCCTCCATGGTGGCATTACACCGGAGGCGTGGAGCAGAAGTGCGGTGCTCTTGTTCTCCAAGAAAGGCGACAACGCCGAAATACAGACCGATTTCCCTTCTGAGCCGCGTCTACGTGCTGTTTCCGAGAGTCTTTACGAATCGTCTCACGCGCAGACTTGACGACTTCCAGCCTCCCGAACAAGCCGGTTTCCGAAAAGGCTTTAGCACCATAGACCACATACATACCCTTCGGCAAATTGTACAGAAGTCCGAGGAGTACAATTTGCCACTATGTCTGGTGTATGTGGACTATGAGAAAGCCTTTGATTCCGTCGAAATTTGGGCGGTGCTGCAGTCCCTTCAGCGATGCCAAGTTGACTGTTGGTATATCGAAGTGTTGACGTGCTTGTACAGTAGGGCTACGATGGCTATCCGAGTACAAAACCAGAGTACGAAACCTATCCAATTGCAGAGAGGTGTAAGACAGGGTGACATCATATCCCCGAAACTCTTTACCGCTGCATTGGAAGATGTTTTCAAGCTTCTGGACTGGAAAGGATACGGTATCAACATCAATGGCGAGTATATCACTCACCTTCGATTTGCCGACGATATAGTCCTTATGGCAGAATCGCTGGAGGACCTAAGCACTATGCTCAATGACCTCAATAGTGTTTCCCAACGGATAGGTCTTAAGATGAACATGGACAAAACAAAGATCATGTTTAATGTCCATGTCACACCTATGCCGGTAGTTGTTGGGAACACTAAGCTCGAAGTTGTTGACGAGTATGTTTACCTGGGACAAATAGTCCGACTAGGTAAGTCCAACTTCGACCGAGAGGTCAATCGACTGATTCAACTCGGTTGGGCAGCGTTCGGGAAATTACGACACATCTTCTCGTCAGGTATACCTCAAAACTTGAAAACGAGACTACACCCAGTGCGTGTTGCCAGTGATGACATACGGAACTAATTAATTTACTACTACTTAAAAGGGGTTTTATATATTTTTATATTTTATATATATTATATCACGTACAAGATATTTCACTATTAATGTCCACATATTTTTTAATTACATCCGTTTCTTTAAAAAAAGTTTTATTTTACACTATAGATATACTTATTATCTAAAGTTTAAAATAAAAACTTTTTTATACTATAGATTATATTATTATTATTACGAAAGATATCGTGTGATTACAAAATAATCGTGTACAACGTGGTACAGCACTAGCTCTTATTCAGGGAAAATTTTAAGCGGGGGGAGGGGGGGGTAGCACCGTAGCAGGTGCTGTGTCCGTGTGTCGACCTGGCTGCGGGCCTCCCGCGGCACCCTATAACACCCTGATTAATTTTGTTAAAATCAGTGTTTTCTTATCAAAATATTATTTACCGATAAAAAGAAATCTCATTATTCTTCAATGTTTGCTTCCGTGAATCGTTTTTAGAGCTTGTTACTGCACATCTCACCATGGTTACTTAAAATTCGAGTAAATACCGTCGAGAGAAACGATCAACGCGCATATTCTTTCGTGACTAATAGCTAAGCTATTCATAGTCGCTAATGCACTCTATAGCTTGCCTATGTAATATACGCTAAGGAATTACCATTCTGATTCCTCAAAATAAAATCCCCCAAAAACATAACTCATTTTGAAAAAAATTCTAATTTCTTATTCTTTTACAAACTTTAAGTTTTATGCACTACTCTCCATAATCTTAAAATAACTTAAAAAGAGAAATTGATACGGAAAAAGTAATAACCTTCTAGTCATTATAAGCCTTTGTTAAAAAAAAAAACTAGAATACAATCAAAGCTGACGTCCAACAATTTGGTTCACATAGGTAAATTTCACCTAAATATTAAATTTACTTCAGATGTTGAATCAAAAACTGACTTTTCTCTTAACTTTAGTTACTATTTTCTAAGTAATTATGTCAAGTCCAGTATGTACGGATAAAGAATGGGATTAGAAATGCCGGCTCATTGAGCCTGTACGGTCAACATGCACAGTACCAATAGCGAAAACCCGCTAACAACGAAAAATCCTTGTAACGTTATATTATTCGGTTAATTGGAAATTTTCTATTAATGGGAAAATATCATTGAGTTATTATGTACTCCATACTAAAGGCAGATAGACACTACACTAAATTACGCTGTCTCGTTCAACTGCGGCGATAACGCCGCACTTTCATCAGTCGCTCGCTAGGCGCCACAGAGTACATTATATATAGGGGGCTAGGCGCTAATGAGTTGACACAAGCTGTGGTAATTATAAAAGAAAAATCTTGGTAATATATGCCATGGTGTGTTTTAGATATTGCAGAAATAATTCAAGAGATGTTAGAAAATACCAAGGAATAACTTTTCATCAGTGAGTAAGATACTTAATTAATAAAAAGTATTATAGATTAATAATCAAACAAATTATTCCAAAGACGCCATCTCGGTTCATGGAATATATATTATGAAATTCATTTGTTCAGATGAGACGTTTCTCTAGGTACATCAGTGTGAGAAAAATTGTGCATAATATAATGTTCTCTTATAGAAACAAATAGAAATATTCATAATTAGGCTAAATTTCTAATATTTAAATTTGCTGATTATTCTTTTATTTTATACTAATACTAAAACTGTACGGCGATGGGGACCGCCACCCGTCACGCACAGCCCGACACGGCGGAAGGTGGAGGACAGAGTGCAGAGTTGGCAAGTGGAATGTTAGAGGAGGCATGAGAGATAAGACGAATGAGTTGATCGAAATAATGAAAGAAAGAGAATTAGATGTCGTGTGTATGTCGGAGACCAAACGGAAGGGCAGTGGTACTGAAGAGCTCCCTGGCGGGGTGTTAGCTCTATGGTCCGGAGTCCCGGAGAGCGAAAACGCCTGCCAGGGAGTGTGGGTGCTGCTGTCTTCTCGGTTGGTCGATGTTATGACTGAATATAAGGTTGTGAACTCAAGACTTCTCTGGGTTCGCTTTAAATTGGGACTTACGAAGTTATTCCTTTTGGCTGTTTATGTGCCGGTAGCTTCGTCGTCCAGGGCTGAGCTGGAGGAGTTTTGGGAGAATGTAAGAGAAGTTCTAGATTTGGCTAGGGGAAACGAAAGAACTGTTGTATGTGGTGATTTGAATGAATGGGTTGGTACCGCTCGACCAGGGTACGAGTCGGTACTTGGAAAGTTTGGTGATAAAAGAGTTAATGATGCTGGCAAGCTTATACTGGCGGTATGCAAGGAAAAGGGTCTTCTTGTGACAAACACTATGTTTAATCACAAGAAAATCCATATTGTTACGCGCCACTATTAATGTCTTGTACATGGCAACACTAGTTACACTAGCGCCCCCTAGTGTCGAGTAAATGAAAGTATTGCGCGCCACTATTAATGTCTTGTACATGGCAACACTAGTCACACTAGCGCCCTCTAGTGTCGAGTAGCAGAACTAGGAGAGTCGAGATCCTTCCAGAAATTTCGGGACCGATATGTACTCGAACATTCTAGATGTCGCTACAGTAGAAGGTTCTGGAAACTATCTGAGGCCCTATATAAGACCGGTATAGACCACGACCGGGGCAGTATTGAATTGGCGATACAAGAGAATACTTCGAAGCGAAATAACGGCGAACTGTGTTTTATTAGTGTGATTTTAGATTGTAATTAGTGTTGTGTAATTAAAGTGTCAATTTTGGTAATTCAATCGGCAGTTTTTAATTGTCTCGAACCCCAAGTTCGTAACAATTGGTGTCAGAAGTGGGATCAAATATGCCGATTTTACCTAAAGACGACACGGAGGGTATCCGTACCCGAAGTCAACGCCAACAGGAGACGGACCAGAGTCGATTTGGTAATGCAACGCCGCAAAGGTCGGAGGGCCAGTTGCTAACCACGGAGGCTGGCCCGTCAGCAGCTCCTGCATCTGCAGCACCTGACTTAGGTGCTCTGATGATGATGCTGCAGGATCAGGCTCGCCGACAGGAGGAACAGGCCCGCCGACAGGAGGAACAGGCCCGCCGACAGGAGGAACAGACCCGTCGGCTGGAAGAGCAGCTGCAGCGCGGTATGGAAGAACAGATGCTCCTCAGGAAGGACCTTCACGCTACCTTCGGGAAAGAGATAAAGGAGGTGAAGGATAGGGTTGCTCAACATGACAACCGCCTGTCGGAAGCTGAAACCCGAATCGACCAAGTGAACAATCGGGTTGACAACGTGATGGCTGATGTGAAGAAAACGCTGGACGACCTCAAACTTGGGGATAGAGTTACAGCTCCCGTGGTAGCTACAACACCTTCGCTACGTGGATTCAAAGTGCCACCGTTCGACGGGACTTCTTCCTGGTCGGCCTATAAAATCCAGTTCGAGGCTGTCATGAAAGCGAACGGCTGGAATAAAAGTCAGGCCATGACTGCTCTCACCCTAGGCCTGCGCGACCAGGCATTAACTCTTCTGGAAGCTCTCGGTAAGGAAGTGACTTACGAGCAGCTCCTTGAGGCATTGGAGGCGAGATATGGCGACGCTCACCTGGAACACGTCTTTCGTGCGCAGCTCAAAGATCGCGTGCAACGCAGTAACGAAAACCTGCAGCAGTGGGCCCTTGAGGTGGAGAAGCTGGTTCGAAAAGCGTACCAGTCTGTACCTGCGCTTATTGTAGGGAACCTGGTGCAGACATTCATCGACGGCATCCGCGACCTTGAAGTCAGAGCTGCTGTGAGGCTCGGGCACCACGAGACGCTTAAGGACGCCTTGACCCATGCACTGGAGGTGGAAGCCGTGCGGCAGGATCATCGTTCCCACCGCGTCAGGGAGGTTGCAGCAGCTAAAGTTCAGGACCGCAATAAAAGCTACAGCCCTAGGTGCTACGGCTGTGGAGAAAGGGGCCATCTTCGATCCAGCTGCCCTAAGCGAACGGTAAAAAGGGAAGGTGATCGATCTCGAGAGGGTAGTGCGGATAATAGCACCGCCCAGCAGCAGCAGGGAAACTGGCGGGTGCTGGCTGATGTTAAAAGAGCCCCAAGGATTTCGATCTCACAAACTCATGATGGGAACAGCCTAATCATCAAGGGCGAAGTCAACGGAACGCCATGTAAACTGACCATAGACACTGGAGCCTCTCGCACGGTTGTCAGTTCCCAACTTATAAGTCGGTTCCTTGGTGACTCCGTATACAACCGAGAACGCATTAATTTGGTGACAGCCACTGGTCAGCGCATACCCGTCCGTGGAGAGAAGGAGATGGAGTTGAAGCTAGGCAACATGATCTACCTGCATAATGTCATCGTGGCTGATATAATGCACGACTGCATCCTGGGCCTAGACTTTATGAGGAAGAATTGTTGTGAGATTGACGTTAAGCAAGGTGTTTTGAAATGTGGACAAGAAGAACTTTTCATGGAAGGGGCGTTACCAGGGAATGTGTACAGCCTTAAGAAGATTGTTCTTCCGCCGAGATCGGAAACGATTGTGCCGGTTAGTCTTCCTCGGAGTCCTGGGCAAGCTCATCGTTGTGTACTCGTGGAAAGGGTAGACAATGACCTTCCATGGAAAGTGGCTCGAACCTTGGTCAGAACCACCGACATCTCAGGAGTACGTGTGTTGAACCTTTGTGATCAGGAACAGATTATAGAAAAAGGCACATTGGTTGGTACTAGTGAGGAAGTGGATTGGTTGCGTCGGTGCGAATATCTATCGACCGGGACCCCTAGCAAGGATGGACAAACGAGAGTGACCACACTTTTAGAAGACTGTCGCAGCGTTCTCTCCCCGAATGAAATGGTCAAGGCGAAGAAGTTGTTACTCAAGTACGCCAATGTTTTCTCGTCAAACGAAGCTGACATAGGAAAGACTGGCTTAGTTCAACACAAAATAAACACAGGACAAGAATTGCCTATTCGTCAGCGGCCAAGAAGATTGCCTGTAGCACGTGAAAAGGAAGTGGAAACCATGATTGAGGGAATGGTGAAGGATGGTGTTATTGAACCTTCATCTAGTCCATGGTGTTCACCTGTGGTGCTGGTAAAGAAGGACGGCAGCATGCGGTTTTGTGTTGACTACCGCCGCCTGAACGACGTTACGAAGAAGGACAGCTATCCCTTGCCTAGAATTGATGACACGCTGGATATGCTCACAGGCGTAAAGTGGTTTAGTACGCTGGACCTGAAAAGTGGCTACTGGCAGGTTGAAATTGACCCTAAGGACAAGGAGAAAACTGCATTTTCCACAGGAAAGGGTCTGTGGCAATTTAAAGTCATGCCGTTTGGATTGTGCAATGCTCCAGCAACGTTTGAAAGGTTGATGGAGCTTGTACTTACCGGGCTAATTGGAGATGCCTGTCTCGTCTATTTGGATGACATCATCATCGTAGGCCGTACGTTTGAGGAGCACCTTCAAAACCTGGAACGCGTGCTCATGAATATCCGGAGTGCCAACCTCAAGTTGAGTCCAAAGAAGTGCTCACTATTCAAACGGCAAGTTAGTTTTTTGGGGTATGTAGTGTCGGAAGAAGGTATCCGCACGGATCCAGAGAAAATTGCTGCTGTCAAGGAGTGGCCGGTCCCAAAAGACAAGACACAGATTAGAGCATTTTTGGGTTTGTGCTCTTATTATCGGCGATTTGTGAAGAACTTTGCAGATATAGCCAAACCTCTGCACAAGCTAACCGAGGAGAAGCGACAATTCTGCTGGGATGAAAGTTGCGATATTGCATTCCAGGAGCTCAAGAACCGTCTGTGCAAAACACCTATTTTGGGGTACCCTGATGCGGGCAAGGAATTCATAGTTGACACAGACGCAAGTGATATAGGACTTGGCGGTGTGTTGTCTCAACGGAATGGTGATCAAGAGATTGTGATAGCGTACTTCAGCAAGTCGTTGTCAAAGCCGGAAAGGAACTATTGTGTCACAAGACGGGAATTGCTTGCTGTGGTAAAGTCCTTGCAGCATTTTAGCAAATATCTTCTAGGGCGGAAATTCCACTTACGAACTGACCATGCTGCACTGAAATGGCTATTGCAGTTCAAAAATCCGGAAGGACAAGTTGCGAGATGGATAGAACTACTGCAGGAATACAACTTTGTGATCGAACATCGCAGCGGGAAATCTCATGGCAATGCAGATGCATTGTCAAGAAGACCTTGCCCTGAAGATTGCAAGCATTGTACTAGGCAAGAGGGTAAGGAAGTGGTATCTGTGAGAATGCTCAGGACAGACCAGCTCAGCAATGAGTGGAAGGACAGCCTACAACATGCACAGCAGGAAGATTCGGACATTAAGCCGATTCTGGAATGGATGAAGGCCAGTGCTCCTAAGCCCAAGTGGAGCGACGTCTCAGCAATGAGTTCGACCACGAAAAGCTATTGGGCCCAATGGGACAGCTTGCTGATTCAGGATGGAGTCCTGTGCCGTAAATGGGAAAATGGTCGGGGAGACAGGTGTCATTTGCAAATGGTTGTCCCTAAGGCTAAAGTGCCGGATATTCTACGGCTGTACCATAGTGGTTGTTCAGGAGGCCACCTGGGAGTTAAACGAACTCTCCTGAAGATCCGAGAACGGTTTTACTGGGTCCACTGTCGTGACGATGTCGAGGACTGGTGCCGCAAATGTACAAGTTGTGCGGCTGTAAAGGGACCTCAAATTCGTAGTAGAGGCGCATTGAAATTGTACAATGTTGGTGCACCATGGGAGAGGATAGCCATTGACGTTGCGGGGCCGTTTCCAGAAACTGAAAGTGGTAACAAGTATTTCATGGTAGTGATGGATTACTTCACTAAGTGGCCAGAAGTCTTCGCCATTCCAAATCAAGAAGCTTCAACAGTTGCAGATAAACTAGTTCATGAAGTCTTCTGTCGTTTTGGAGTACCTTAGAGATTCACAGCGATCAAGGAAGGAATTTTGAGTCTCAAATATTCCAGGAAACTTGCCGAGTTATGGGTACTCAGAAAACACGAACAACTTCTTACCACCCACAATCTGATGGAATGGTAGAAAGATTTAATCAGACATTGGAGAGGTACCTAGCAAAAGTTGTGGAAAAACGGCAACGAGACTGGGACAGGCACATACAACCGTTTTTGTTGTCATATCGAAGCGCTGTTCACGAAAGTACATCAGTGACACCAGCTTTCGCAAACTTTGGGAGAGAATTGCGGCTGCCTGCAGACCTGATCACCGGAATACCACCTGATGCCCCACGCAGTATAACCGATTATGCAAATGACTTGCGGAACAAAATGAATGACATTTATGAGCACGTCAGACAGACGGGCCAGCAAACGTCTGAGAAGATGAAAACACGGTATGACCGCAAAATGAACAACAAGGGCTTTGATGAAGGTTCACTAGTGTGGTTACACAATCCAGTTCGCAGCAAAGGGAAATCTCCTAAGCTTCAAGCTAAATGGGACGGACCGTACCGGATTGTGACAAGGATCAATGATGTAACCTACCGGATACAGAAAGGTGCCAGAGGTACTCCTAAGATTGTCCATGTGGATCGACTGGCGCGTTATTATGGGGCCAATAATGCTCGGGACGAGCATGTCTTAGGAGGGGGCAGTGTTACGCGCCACTATTAATGTCTTGTACATGGCAACACTAGTTACACTAGCGCCCCCTAGTGTCGAGTAAATGAAAGTATTGCGCGCCACTATTAATGTCTTGTACATGGCAACACTAGTCACACTAGCGCCCTCTAGTGTCGAGTAGCAGAACTAGGAGAGTCGAGATCCTTCCAGAAATTTCGGGACCGATATGTACTCGAACATTCTAGATGTCGCTACAGTAGAAGGTTCTGGAAACTATCTGAGGCCCTATATAAGACCGGTATAGACCACGACCGGGGCAGTATTGAATTGGCGATACAAGAGAATACTTCGAAGCGAAATAACGGCGAACTGTGTTTTATTAGTGTGATTTTAGATTGTAATTAGTGTTGTGTAATTAAAGTGTCAATTTTGGTAATTCAATCGGCAGTTTTTAATTGTCTCGAACCCCAAGTTCGTAACAATATGTATACTAGAGAAAGAAAGAATGAAAGAAGTATGATCGGTTTGTTCCTGGTGGATGATCGACTGCGAAAACAGGTGATGGATACGCGAGTGTTCAGGGGTGCTGACCTGGGAACGGATCACTATCTAGTGATTACTAGATTTAGGGGTCTGTTCGCGGGTTGGCGCTACCGGACGGCAGTAACAGAACCATAGTCGGTCTGTCGGATCCGAAGCTGGAAGCATCAGGAAGCGGATACTAGGGACAAATATCATGCGAGGGTAGCCGAAAAGCTTGACACCATCGATGGCAGAAAAGAATGTGTGGAAAGAACATGGCAGAATCTTAGGGATGGAATGGTAAGTGCAGCAGAAGAAGTGTGTGGAACAATAAAAAGAGGCAGTAGTAAAAGAAGAGATGCTTGGTGGAATGATGAAGTGAAAGAAGCTGTAAAGAAGAAGAAGAAAGCATGGTTAGACTACTTGGCCTCTAGTAATGATAAGGATATGAGAGAGAAGTTGAAAGAAAGATATAAGCTGCAGAAAGTTCAACCGAAAGCATTGATTGAGGAAGTGCGTGAAAGGTGTAGAATGGAAGCGGACGAAAGGTTGTCGCACAACTTCAAGGAGAACTCCAAACTCTTCTGGAAAGAGGTTGGAAGGACCCGAAGTGGTGCGACGGCCTTAAGAATGAACAAAGTGCTTTCGAGAACTAATGACGTCCTCTCAGAAAAATCGGACGGCATGCAGCGATGGAGTGAATTTTATAGAGAAATGTATGCGTGTGATGATCTTAGTGAGGGACCCGGGGATGACGCCGTGACTGGTACGCCAGACCCGAACCTCGATGACACTGAGGTCATCAGTATGAAAGAGATTGAACGTGCGATTCGAAGTTTGAAATGTGGTAAGGCTGCGAGACTAGACAGAGTTACTGCTGAAATGGTCAAGTATGGTGGGCCCCGCGTCTGGGACAGCTTTCATCTGCTGTGCAATTTGTGCTGGCGGACGGGGGATGTCCTGGATGATTGGCGATCCGCAGTCATTGTGCCTTTATATAAAGGTAAAGATTCACATTTTGACTGCGGGTGCTATCGGGCGATCAGCTTGACCAGTTTAGCAAGTAAAGTTTACTCGAAAGTTTTGACACATAGGATGCAAGAGAAATCGGAAAGATTTCTATGGGAGGCACAATGCGGATTTAGACCTGGAAGAGGATGCACGGATCAAATGTTTTCTCTCCGCATGATCACGGAAAAGCTTCTGACTGCTAACCAGAGGATTTTCTGTGCTTTTGTGGATCTTGAGAAAGCATTTGATAAGGTTGCAAGGAAGAAAATGTGGGAACTGTTGCCGGGGTATGGTGTGGATGGTCGATTGCTAAGCGCTGTGCAGTCACCTTACTGTGACTGTAAAGCCTGTGTGCGGGTAGGGCATGACCTGTCACCCATGTTTAGCGTCCAAACGGGCGTAAAACAGGGTTGTGTCATGTCTTCCTGGCTGTTCATACTGTATCTCGACAGCTGTTTACAGAAGCTGAAAGATAGCTCTTTGGGTGACATAAAAGTAAATTGTCTGCTGTATGCTGATGATGCAGTGCTTATTGCACCATCAGAGGCAGAAATGCAGGCATTAGTCACGTGTATGAAAGAGGAATGTGAAATTAAACGTCTCCGTTTGAATGCTAATAAAACTAAGGTTCTGGTATTTGAAAGGGACGAAAAGAGAACGAAGTGTGAAATATGGGTAAATCAGGAATGTCTAGAACAGGTAAATGAAATTGCATACAATTTCATTTACCTTGGGGAGTGCTTTTATCATAAGATGTGATTTAGTTGTGGACAGGCGTGTCGCTGCCGGGAACAAAGTCAATGGTGCCCTGACTGCGTTAGTCAAAAGGCAAGGCGTAGTGAAGAGTGCACGCCTTGCAATACATAACGCAGTGTTGGTACCGACTTTTTTATATGGCAGCTTAACCTGGGTATGCCAGAAGAAGCATAAAAGCAAGTTGAATGCAGTGGAGATGCGATCTCTTCGTAAAATGTGCGGCGTTACCATAGCCGACCGAAAGCGAAACGAAGAGATTCGCAATATGGCAGGTTTGAAAGATGACCTTATCACAAAAATTGATAAGGGCGTGTTTCGATGGTTTGGGCACGTTGAGCGAATGAGTGAAGACCGAATGGTGAAGAAAATATATAGCGCGAAAGTAAATATTAAAAGGTGTCGAGGTAGACCGAGACTAACTTTCGAAGACCATGTGAGCAAATTGCTTGAAGAGGGGAGGGTCAAGAGTTCTCGGATACCTAGACGTGCATGTATGAAGAAGATAATGAATCTGAAAGAAGCGAAAGAGGTATGTAAGGATCGTGACACTTGGCGATCTGTTCTCTCTGGCTACCCCGTCAGGGATTGTGCGTGAAGATAACCAAACTAAAACTGTATGAAATTCAGTAAATTAGTTATTTGTTTACAAACCCTAGTGTCCCTGCAATTAGGCAGACACCAGACAGCTAGATAGGTGAAGTATTTTAACATCAGAATACATTATTTTTCATTTTACATAGCACCAGGCATTCATTCCCTTTTCGTCTTAATAGAAGTGATATAGTATTGAAAATATTAGAAAGACAACAAATTAATACAACCAAAACTTTTGCCATTTTATTTTATAGGCATTTATAAAATACGAGCTTTCGCATTTGAAATACGAGTAGGTAGTATAAAATAAATAAATAAAAATATCATAATGGGAAATTATATTATCTATAGTAATTTGTATAATATGTTTTTATTTATTTAGTATATACTGTTTGTTTAATTGAAAATTGTTAAATAATGATAACTTATGACAACAAATAATTAAAATAAAGTCATTAAATCTTTAGACTAACTTAGACATCTACATAGTATACAAACACAGGGCACGCGTCGACGAAGATAATTAATTGATCAAAGTAACTTATTGTAAGTGTCCTTTGATCAAAATTATATGAAGTTGATGCCTCCTTTGTGTTTGTATATTATGTATGTAGTCATCGATTGACGCACGGAATCACACGAAGCAAGCAAGCATTCCCATATAATAATTGTCACATTGTAATTATTTCTTACTCTCTAAGTACATACATTTTGGACTGCAGTATTTAGTAATAAGACATTTCAAGGACATTTAGGTATTACATAATATATATTTTAAAAAGTGATGACCGATTATTCGCTAACTCGCACACGTATTTACAATAATAATTTATACAATACAAATAAATAAAATTAAAGTGTCTGTTTGTAATGTAAAGTGACAGCTTTTTACTAAATGTATATGAAAGTATATACGGTACTTATAACAAAAATTACAATTTTTTAAATTTTGTCCGCCTGTTTGTTCTGTGTAATCTCCGAAACGGGTGGACCGATTTTAACGGGACTTTTACTAGCAGATATCTGATGTTATAAGGAGTAACTTAGGCTATTTTTATATTAAAAAAAAATAATTAGGGTTCTGCGCAAGAAAATGAAAACGCATGAAATTCAATCATAATAAATTCCACGCGGGCAAAGTCAGGGGAACAGCTAGTAAAGAAATATCGTTTTAATCGTTGCAAATTTAACAATGTCTCGTATCGAATTGATAACTAAATTATTGGCGATTGAGATCGTTAAGGTAATTTCAAATAATAGCATCGATTTGCGTATGTAATTATTATAGCTGAATAACAAGGGAAATTCGAAATTAAAGGATATTGAAAGCATTTTTATTTCTTGTATGCTTATCGGGGTATTTTTAAGGCTATTATTGTAAGAGAGATTCGCTTGAAGACTTTAATATACACAATTCTTTTAGTCATCGTCATCATCATTAACGCCCTTCACAAGTCC